GAAACGGTTTTATGGGAATTTAAAACTACTATTCAGAAACGGTTTTATGGGGATTTAAAACTACTTATCAGAACGGTTTTATGGGGATTTAAAACTACTTATCAGATGGAACTTAGTCATTCACTCTCTTTAAAATAGTATAACATAAAGGACCTTTAGTGGCTAATTCTATAATTCCTTAGTTTATACATCAGAGTTATATATAAGTAATATCTGATTGACAGTGAAATGTGTGACTTCCGCCTTACTTCTTGTTCCTTGTTTGGTTGTGGGCTTAGGGCAGATTCACCCATTTAACTGTCCATTCGATATTAGGTTATATATAACTAGTATAAACTAAGTAATTGCAGAGGGAACTAATGAGGTTATCATTTTATCACATCAGGAAATATAGGATTTTCTGGAGGAACCAGCGAACTTTTCCAAGAACTTAGAGTATACTTTATATAACTAAAATACTTATGAACTCACCAGCTTAAATGCTGATCTACTCTTTCAAAATAACTTGTATTTTCAAGAATCCAGTAGACAGGTACACTCCCGAAGCTTTTGAGAAGACTACCTTGTACCGTACTGCGACTCTTGTCTTCTACTGTATCTACTTTGATGTTTGAATATGTAATGTTTAAACACTTATGTAAAACTTATACTTATTAATTCAATGGTTGTTTGTACTTTGATTACTATATTGCATGTGTTGTGATACTTACATGACGTCCTCCTCCCCCGAACGTTTCCGCCGTTCTGGTTTGGGGGTGTGACAGTGTGGGGCATCTTTATGCCAACGACATCGAGGGCAGAATTCCAGGATGATGAATGGGTTGGTTTGATGGTAGTTTAAGCCATTGTGATGTGTCTCGGGTGGCTCTATCCGTAATAGAGCCACGACATGTCGAAATCAAGAAACGGTAGGTCGAAGGAGACCGGGTATGATGCAAGACTACAACCATTCTGGTGGTATTCACCTTTTGCGTCAGATTCGGTGGCGACAGGTTGTCAGCCTATCTCGATCATGTTGGATCAAATGGATTGAAGGAGATAGGGCGGTTATGGTTAGACGAGGTATCCTTCGAAGGTCGCAGGGGACTGCTGAGTGTGGTTTGGCTCAGCAATCAGGTAGGTGTGCGGTGTCCTAGATAGCTAGTAGACGGGATGGAACCAGAGAGGTCCCCGGTTGTTCTTCAGGAAAGCAGCCATGTGGCAGCAAGAGGAGTAGGAGCGACTTCAGTGATTTGGGGTCTGTATGTGGAATTGTTGTTATTCGGTAGTCGCATTCGATCGATGATTTTGTTCTTTAGGAAGCTTCAAGTTATTACGAGTGGGAGGATTCTATCTAGGCAGGTCTCTGGTGGAATCAGTTCGATGATGATTCGATGTGGGCAGTCTGTTAGGGAGGCAAACCATCTCGAGACTCCAGATTTCGGATGGAACAGATGCGATCAGGTTGCAAGGAATTCGTTCATCTTCGAGTTCTAGAACCTTGCGAGGGTTGGTTTCGGTTGCCTTGGAAAGGCTATGGTATGCTCGGGGTTGTGGCCATGAGGCCTTAGTTATTTGGCGTGAGGAATAGTAAGGAATGATTTCGAGGACGAAATCTAATTTAAGTGGGGGAGAGTTGTAACACCCGGTTTTGAAAGTGTTCGATTGTGTCTTCGGATGCCAAGGGTATAAGCGTAATCTGACGATTCGGTCTTTTATGGGTCCCGGGTTTATTCTAGAGGCTTTAAGGCTTGGGGTGTAGCTAGGAGCGTAGGGCTTCTTGCCACCTTTTCGTGGATATAAAGTTCGTTGGAAACGGACTTAGAACGAAGAAGTTATAGTACTTTGAAGTTGTTGGCAGAATTGGTCCCTGAATGGAAAAGCTTGCATTTCAGCCCATGCATGCAAGGTGGCAGCCAAGTGAGTATGCCCAGCGTAAGCTGGTGTACGCCCAACGTAGTGTTGGATAATGAAACACGGATGTTGAAGACGTACGCCCAACGTACGGGGATTACGCCCAACGTACGTCCAGGATCTACAAAACCCTAATTTTTAGGGTTGGCTCACTATTTAAGCACCTTAATTCCGAGGGGGGTGCGCCTCCCTTTCATTCTCAGAGCCTTAAACCCTAAATTCGAGTGGTAGCTTCATCCAAGAGTGTTGTGAGCTTTGTGGGTGCATTTTGGGTGGTTTTTGGTGCATTTCAAGAAGTTGGAACTTGTTGCAAAGATGGGAATCAAGGAGGAGCCTGTGGATCTGGCATTTGGGACTCATTCTCAGCTTGGTGAAGGTATAAAGCTTTGATCTTGATCTTTCATCTCTTAGATCTACCATTGTGAGTTTTAGTTCATTTTGGTCCCAAGGATGGAACTTTATGGTTGAAATCTGATTCTTAGACTTAGAGTTGCCACTCTCAGTGTTAAATGAGTCCTTAAGGCAGAAAGTTGCCATCTTGGAGGTCTTAATGGGTTCATGCTTGAGTTAAGACCATTTCCATGGAAGTCGATTATCATTTTTGGAGTTTGAGCTTATGTGGGTCATGAAAAGCCATCAAGTAAGCAACTTTATGGTTTAAGACGTTGAAGAGGACGTGGATTTGTATATGTAGCTTCTGGAGTAGAGTATTAAGCACTTAATGGAAAAGTGGCTTAACAGAGGAGTATGATGGGCGTACATGCAGGTACGCGCAGCGTACACCACCTTCAGCCAGTACGCTTAGCGTACAAGGGAGTACGCCCCGCGTACTCATCGGTTATAGGCTTAGAGTGTTTTGGGCCAGAAATATGTTTGTGCTTAAGGTAAGGCCCGTTAGAGGGGTTGGGCCCAATTTGGAAAATTAGGCCATTAGTGGGCCACTAGTGGGCTTGGAAAGCCTACCTAGTGTTGGGCTTTTGTTTTGGGTTTGAGCCTAAGTATGGATCGTGATGGGCCAGGGGTAGAATGGTCATTTTACCCCATGCATGGATTAAGGATTATGGTATGGGACCCGATTGCTAATTGGGTATATTGATTGGTAGTGGCAGCTCAGGAAGCTGGCGGGGCAGCAGCTAAGGAATTCATGCAGGAAGCTTCTGCAGTGCGAGGTGAGTCTTCTCACCATACCAATGGGTCTAAGGCACTAAGGCTGGCCCGTTTTATGTTATGTGGTGCACTAGCTGTAGTAGAGATATGTGGTATGATAGTTAGCTTTATGCTAAGTGGTATGCTAGTGATTTTATGATAGTTGGTATGCTTGTTGTGTAGAGGTATGTGGCATATTTATGCAGTGATACGTGGTAGAGATAGCTTTTACAGCTGATGGTAGAGATAGCCTTTGTGGCTAATGGTAGAGATAGCCATTGGGGCTAACGGTAGAGATAGCCTTTGGGGCTAACGGTAGAGATAGCTCGATAGCTAATTGATATGTGATATGTGGTAGAGGTAGCTTTTATAGCTAATTGATATGTGGTATGCGGTAGAGATAGCTTTTATAGCTAATATGATATGTATTATGTGGATTGTATATGGGGTATGCTCTGGGGGACTCACTAAGCTTTGTGCTTACGGTTTACAGTTTTGGTTTCAGGTATCATCGGTTTGGAAAAGAAGAGCTCGGATTGATCGCAGTGCACACACCTATGATTTCCGCAATGAATGATTTTGTGATGAACTCTGATAAATGATTTAGTTATCGATGATTTGAAATGTTTGAAGTAAATAATATCAATGTTTTAGCTATATTAAAAATAAAATTTTTTACCCTTGATTTTCGGGTCGTTACACAAGATCTAAACTTTATGCACTAAAATGACCAAAAATGCTAACACAACTTGCATGGCTTAGAGAACAAGCACCAAAACATAACTTTCTAAGTCCAATAAATCCCAAGAGTGTTCCATATAACTCAAAAGGTGCTAGATTTCTCTCAACTCCCAAAACACAAGCTCAAGGGACCAAAAGGTGACAAAAATGCCCAATAACAATATCTAAGAAACCAATGGGCAAGTTATAAGATTTTTACTTACAATGGTCCATAAATGAGGCAACCTTGCTGAATCTATACTTGAACCCCTTCTTACATGCACTTTACAACCACCTTGTTCTTCAAGACTCACCCACCAAATGAAGAAGATAAGCTCATAAAAGATGCCAAGGCTCAAAACAAGCAAGAGGAGGTTAGGGTTTCTCAATGAATGATATGAGGTGGTGGAGGCTGGTCATAGGAGGGATCCCAAGAAGTTAGAGCCTTTAATTAGGGCTCAAACCTTAGATTTAGGGTTTTGGTCTGCAGCGGCTATGCTCAGCGTAACCTAATCTACGCTCAGCGTAGGTCATCAAGTGCACGATCAATATTCTTCAGCGTAGGGGCTTTTCTATGCTCAACATATAGCAAAATTCCCAAATTCCACTTCAACTTCAAAACAATCATAACTTCTTCGTTTTAACTCCGATTTCAGCGATCTTTATATCCATGCGAAGGTATTGACGAGCCCCACAATTCTACCTAATCACTTATGAATAAAAACACATCGAACTAAAAACCATAATTCATGCAAGAATTATGAAATATTACTTTTCCTATTTTACCCCTTTAGCTTCCAAAGTACAATTCAAGGTTTAAATCACTTATCCAACATCATCATCATCATCCAATAGGGTCTAAACTCTACTCTCTTGAAGTCCAAAGTCTTTACATGGTTGAATTACGGTCCAGAATCCCAAAATAAAATACATCTCGAAACTGGATGTTACATAAAAATTGATTTTCATTTTGGTTCTTTTGTGGTTTCCATTTGACATATGCTTTCAGAATTTAGTTGTTCATTTAGTTTTCAAGTTGGGTGGTGGTGGTGGAAGATATTAGCGATGGGTTGGTAGTGGTGTTCTAGGTGGCCGATGATGGGGTGGGTGGTGGTGTTGTAGGTGGCTGACGGTGACAAAAAAGGGAAATGGCTTCACTTTAGGTTTCTCATTTATTTATTCTAATTACAACTAAGAGCAACAATAGATGTATCGCCTAGTTAAGGAAGGGTCAATGTGGTATGGTGGCTGGTGGTGGTGGTGGTGGTTTCAATGGCGACAGTTAGAAATAGTAATTTCCAATCATTTAAGGACCAAACCTGCAAATGAAACAAAAGGTTAGACATGGTCTAAGTTAAAAGAAAAGATGTTAAGGTCTAAAAGCGTAAAAGTAACCCAAACCACATAGACAATACGTGTAATTTACTTTTATTTTTCTTTTTAAATTTTATAATGATCAGCGGTTAGAAATTGATTGTGGGCCAAGAGTCGAAATCGGTGTCTCTCAGATCTAGTCGACAGATCACCGTCTGATTCGCTCAATAGCGTGCGGTTCGCGAATAATCGAATATCCTCCCCACCAAGTTTTTCCGTATATCTCTCGACACAACCATCACTCACTCTTCGCCAACCTTACTCTTTCTGTAAGCATCTCCTTCTCTCATCAACTATATCTATATGTGTACTTCGATCCACTTCTAATTCCTTACATCACAGGAAAACACTCAAGTAATGGCGACTTTCAAGGTTAAGCGTGTCGAATCTTCGCCGATTGAAGGCCAAAAGCCTGGCACTTCTGGACTCAGGAAGAAGGTATATTTGTTTCCTAATCTGTTTTCAAATGATTTCGATTTCGATTTTCGTAGATCCGTGGCTTGTTTTGGTCTTGATTGCGTTAAACAAGAAAATAATCATTAATGAGCCTATTGCTTGTGTTTGATTTGTAAAATGTTTTTCTTGTTGATGCATGTTTAAAATGAGATCGGATTGTTCTTTTTTGCTTATACTACTTTCAAATCCTACATTTGAATTTTGTGGTATGCGATCGATCGTTATCCATGTCGGTTATTGTGTACAGATCTATTGTACGTCATACATGAGTGTTTCTGGAGCATCTAATCCGTGGCTTGGATTTAAATTTGGGAAAAGTTAGTTTTGTTTAAAATTAAGATGAACTTGGTTTCTGAATGGTATGTTTGGATCCCATCGGTTCAGAGATCACCTTATCCTGGATGTGAAGATGGCAGATTTAATGAAATGGAAAGTTCTTAGTACTTTCTCCTTTAGTAGTCCATATCAAGAAAAGGAGTCCACTTGTTTGTGTTTAATTATGGCTGTTTAAGTAGTAGAGCCGAATTACTAGGCGTTTCAAAATATAAACAGGCACAATGCTGGGTTTAAGAACTAAAAGATTTATGTCATATTTGAACTGAGAAAATGCTATGATGGATTTCCAACACTATAAAGGACTTTGATTATAGGTGGCATGTGGCATATAAACTGTTAGCACATATAAAGTGTTATTTCTTCTAGGTCTAAGAGGCTAAAGTTTTCAGCACTAATGCATCAGATCCCATCAAAACTCTATGGTTAACTCAATAACTTTGTGAACATTCATTGAGTGTTGAGTCACTAAGGTGATATATTTCAGCATTCATCACCAACAGAGTAGATTTTTTATGAGAATTTGACGTCTAAATGTTTGCTTCAAGTTCAGAACAATACACAAGATATTGTTACTATAGCTTAAAAACACAAAATAGTCAAAGAAATTGTTATTTTTACCTGTAACTTACCAATATCCATGTTTCTTGATAGAATTTGTTGATACACGTTTTGGTTGATTTCATCTTAACTATCAAACTGATGTGATTTAACTTGAATTTTTTCAGGTAAAAGTTTTCACACAACCACATTACTTGCACAATTTTTGTTCAATCAACATTCAACGCCCTTTCTGCAGAAAAAATTAAAGGTAAAGACCATCTCAATCCTAGTTTATTAGTAACCAGAGTCAGCAATACTCTTTGGAGATGTTTCTTTCTTTTTTCCTCATTAAGTTCTGAATGGGAAATGTCTGTCTGTATAAAGTGCTGTATACATAAAGTCTGTTTTTTTTTTTTTGCTAGACCCAATAAACCATCTGAACGAGACTAAATGACCATTTTACCCTTACATTTCAAATGTATTGATGATGCATTTTTCTCTCGTGCAGGTTCTACACTTGTTGTATCAGGTGATGGACGATACTACTCAAAGGATGCTATCCAGGTGCTTACATCATCATTTTATGTGGACTTATCAAGATTCAATGCCTGATATTTTATATAAAAAATGCAGATAATAATTAAAATGGCAGCTGCAAATGGTGCAAGACGTATCTGGGGTTGGTCAAAATGGTCTTTTGTCAACACCTGCTGTATCAGCAGTTGTACGTGAAAGAGTTGGTGCTGATGTAAGTTTATCTGGTTTCAAGATATTTAATAGAATAACCTTACTAAATCAATAATTAATAACCTTTATATTTTTAATTTTCTAGGGTTCTAAAGCAAATGGAGCATTTATATTGACAGCCAGTCACAACCCTGGTGGTCCAAATGAGGTATGTGGTATTTTCTTAACAGTAAAACTCTAAACATGGTTAAAGATTAAAAAAGTTTACTCATATTTTTCGTGTGTTTTTCAGGATTTTGGAATTAAATACAATATGGAAAATGGTGGGCCAGCACCCGAAGGAGTTACTGATAAAATCTTTGAGAACACTAAAACAATAAAGGAGTATTTTATTGCTGAAGGCTTACCTGATGTAACACTGAATTCTTAACCTATAATAATATTTAATAAAATTATATTTTATATTATTTTGATTACATATTTCCCATGTGTGTTCAGGTGGATATCTCTGCAATTGGTGTTTCCTCCTTTTCAGGCCCTGATGGCCAATTCGATGTTGATGTTTTTGATGCAGCAAGTGACTATGTGAAATTGATGAAGTATGCTGCTATCACTCTTGTTCCAACAATAAAGTTTAATGTCAATGACATAATTGCCCTTCATTATCTAATGTCTTAATGAACTCCTTGCAGGTCAATCTTTGACTTCCAGGCAATCCAAAAGTTGATTGCATGCCCACAGTTTTCTTTTTGGTATGTTCCATCACATCCACTTGCAAGCAATATTATTATTAATTTTTTTAATTTTGTTGGATTTTTTTTTAGTTATGATGCGCTTCATGGAGTTGCTGGAGCTTATGCTAGTCGTATATTTGTTGAAGAGCTTGGTGCAAAAGAGAGCTCATTGTTAAACTGTGTTCCTAAGGTTTTATTTCTTTTGCAATGTATTTCTACTTTTTGTTTTTTACTTGTTTTAAAAAAAAATTACTATGCAAACAGGAAGATTTTGGTGGTGGACATCCTGACCCCAATCTAACATATGCCAAAGAGTTGGTAGCACGAATGGGATTGGGCAAAACACCTGATAGCAACCCTCCTGAATTTGGTGCAGCTGCAGATGGTGATGCTGATAGAAACATGGTCCTTGGTAAAAGGTAAAACTAGTACCCTAATGCTCAATTCCATTCCATCTTGGGTTACTGAATACAAAAACTAACTTGTTTTTCTTCATCATTCAGGTTTTTCGTTACCCCTTCTGATTCCGTTGCCATCATTGCTGCCAATGCAGTCCAATCCATTCCCTACTTTTCTTCTGGTTTAAAGGGCGTTGCCAGGTAACCACCATTCTTCATATTTTCTAATTTAAAAAAAAATCATCTATCTATTTTATTTATTTATGAAGTGTGAGTTTTATCTTTGTGTAGGAGCATGCCAACATCTGCTGCTCTTGATGTTGTAGCAAAAAGTCTCAACTTAAAGTTTTTTGAAGTCCCAACCGGATGGAAATTCTTTGGTAACTTGATGGATGCTGGACTATGTTCTGTTTGTGGCGAAGAAAGTTTTGGAACTGGTAAATAAATAATTTATATATATATATATATATATATATATATATATATATATATATATTCAAGAATCATTTTTAATGATTTATTTTTTATTTGTTATAATAGGATCAGACCATATACGTGAAAAGGACGGAATCTGGGCTGTTTTAGCTTGGATGTCTATTCTTGCTTATAAAAACAAAGACAATCTCACTAGTGGAAAGCTTGTCACTGTTGAAGACATCGTGAAGCAACACTGGGCCAAATTCGGACGCCATTATTACACACGATACGATTACGAGGTTTTTAATTTTTATTTAACTGTCGGTTTTGTTTTAAAATAATAAAATTTTAATTTTAATTTGATATTGTTTTGTTTTGTAAAGAATGTGGATGCAGGTGCTGCGAAAGAACTAATGGCCCACTTGGTCAAATTACAGTCTTCTCTTGGTGAAGTCAACAAGTGAGTTTCGTGATTTCTCTTTTTTACTAATTCAGAGTAACTCTTTGAACTTTAACTGTTTTAGCTATCAGTTAATTGCTTTTTGATTACTAACTAATAAATTTGAATGCAGACTGATAAAGGGAGTACGATCTGATGTGGCGAATGTTGCAAGTGCTGATGAATTCGAATACAAAGATCCTGTTGATGGTTCGGTTTCTAAGAATCAAGGAATTCGTTATTTGTTTGAAGACGGGTCACGTTTGGTATAATCTTCATGATTTGATTACATACAGTATCTTTTATTATTTAAAAAGACAAAAGATTTTATATTTTTTAATAAATGTATGTGTTTTGTAGGTTTTCCGTTTATCTGGAACAGGATCTGAAGGTGCGACAATTCGTCTGTACATCGAACAATACGAAAAGGATTCATCAAAGACTGGAAGAGATTCACAGGAAGCACTTTCTCCTTTGGTAAACACCATTTTCTGCAATTTGGTGTTTAATTATTTTTAGTGAGTTGGGGTTTTAATTAAATTTGTGTGGGGGTTGCTTACGTACAGGTGGAGGTTGCATTGAAGCTGTCAAAAATGCAAGAATTCACAGGCCGTGATGCCCCTACTGTGATTACATAAATATATATATTCATACACACATCACATCACATGAATGACAAGGTTCGTGTCCACAACACAACCCAACCCAACCTATATATGTATTTTTCGTGTTCTTTCTTATAGTAATAAAGTTAGGGTTTCAGTGGTATGTTATGGGCTTGTTTTGTTTTCTAGTTTCAGAAGTCAGAGGTATCGGTGTTGTGTTGTTGAGTGCTTTAATGATTTACAGTGTTTTGTTTTGTTGTGGTTAATAATCGTGTTGTATGTTGAGAACCTTTTTTTTTTACCACAATCTCAGTTTTACAGCTTCTTTAATATCATAAAAAAAAATCATGTACATAAATAAAAATTCAACACTACAAAGAACGTTATAGTGTAAAATGAAACACGTGATTTAAATATGGTTTTTTTTCGCTGATGACATATCTCATACAATTTATTGAGACCGGCTATAAAAGGTTTCAGATTTTTTTCACTTTTTCACTTTTTGTGATCGTAGACTTTGGTCACATGAGAGATTGAAATAAAAAGGAAAAAGTTTAGGTTTAGTGGCAAACAAGTCATGGTGCTGGGACATGATCATTCCTAGCTGGCTTTTTGCACGTTTTTGATTTAACAGCCGATTTTCCGTGATAGAACAGTCCTATTTTTTTCATTATTTCTAAAAAAAAATCCAATGTGAGCTATTTGCAATCTCAACATGCCGTTTGGGAGTGTATTGATCCAAAGAATGACAATGAATAATTATCTACCTACAAGTTGTATGTTCTCTATGATTTCATCAGATACGTAGTCATCTATTACCGACAAATTAGTTTATACATCAATTCGATTTAGGCTGTGTTTGGCGCGCCACAGCTAGTTTATTTTTCGAGCTTTTTTATGTTGTCGTGTTTGGTAAACAAAAAAATAGCTTTTAAGTTAGCTTATAAGCTAGCTTTTTGAAAAGCTACTTAGACTAGCTTTTTAGGAGTTTTTTTAAAACTTTCCAAATACACCCCTTAATTAATTATAGAAACACATACTCCTACATGTCCTTTTATGTAATTTTGTATATTTCAACTAGCTTTTCAGCTAGTTTTACCAAACGTTATTTTTTATCAGCTAGCTTTTTATAGCTTTTCAGCTATCAGCTAGCTTTTCAGCTAGTACGCCAAACATAGCCTTAATTTGTAATGATAAAAAAATATAATAATTTAGAAAGCCGGTGACAAACTTATTGTATAATTCCATCGATGACTTGAATAATTATCTACTTAGAGGTTTCGTCAAGCTGGCACACCCTGAAGGCACATCCTGATCAAGATTTCATCAGACACACCTACGGAAACATGAATAATTCTCCATGATTTCATTAACCACACCATGATTTACAAGGTGTGCTTATAGGATACGTTTCGACAATTTAGGTATCCACAAGCTTCAATGTCCAATCAGGCCTTCTCAAACTTATTTTAAGATAAATATTTGAAAGATGAAGATAAATAATTTGAAACGGCATAATTTTCTAACTAGCTAGCAATATATGATCTTTCAAACCCTATTTAAATGATGTCGTTTTCTAACTATAGAAACATTTTTTTTTATTCTTTATTCAGTTTACGGGAGGACATAAAAGAAACAAAATGACTTTTAAAAAAAAAACAAAAAATTGTTGAAAACAAGAATTTGTCTAACTAATTTGGTGTTGTAGATCGATTAGTCAAATTATAAACCATCCAACTTATAAAAAAACAACAAGATGAATGTAGAAGAAATATATATTTAGCCAAATCTTAATTCTGAAGTGGCTGATGAAGTTTTTTTTTACAAACGTTCTAGGTTTATGGGTATTTTTAAACAAACATTCATGTTCGGGGGAGCTTTTTAAACAAACGTTTAAGATTTGACAAAACTTAATATGTTAAACGTACTATAAGAGGCCGCTAAGATATTTTTTTAACACTTTAGTTAATTACCTTTTGATAACATTTTTGGTAGTTTACTTATGTTTTTTGAATATTTTAAATAGTTTGTTATAGGGATGAGCACTTCGACCGGGGTACCGGCCGAAACCGGAACCCGATGGAACCGGTCGGGCCGGGACCGGGACGATATTCTTGTGGATTTTTGGAATCGGGAACCGGTAGGAACCGGACCCGGTAGAACTGGCAAAAACCGAAACCGTATGTTGCTATTCTCGATGACCGGTTCCAAACACGGCAAGAACCGGGAACCGGCGGTCCGGTTCGGTTCTTAATTTCGGCCGACTTCGGTTCCAGGGCCGGGTCCGGTTCGGGCCGGTTCCAGCCGAGTCGTTTCCTTTGCTCATCCCTAGTTTGTTACCAATTTTGGCATCAACA